TTTTTTTATCTTATCCTCTTTGTCCCCTGTGTCCTCTGTTTAATATGTCCAATAGGGTGGGAAGAATTAGTCATTATGTTTGAAACCAGTCCAGTAAATTGCAAATAAAATAAAACTAATTGTGATGATACAAATGTACAAAAATGGCAACTGGGAGTGGCATGGCAGGCTTCCTATCTGAGCCCAGGGTCACGAGCCCTGCAGTTGACTTCAGAAGGGACATCTTCAAGGTCTTAATAACCTTGGTTCTCTGGACCCACTAAGGACGTTACACTGTTGCCTTCTTCAATGAAGTAGTTCATTGTCCATTTTCCTAGCCCTGGCTGTGCTCTGTAACCTTGGGGATGATTAGGCAGGGCTCTAGTCTTGTCCAGTGATTAAAGTTACAGAAATCCTACAACTCATGATTACTCTGCCTAAGGCTGGAAGCCAGCTGAAACTCAGAGTAAACACACCCTGACATCCAGCAGAGTTCAAGATTCCAACACCTGGCACTAGATGCCAATAATTGTTAACTTATTGCTGAATCATCACCGTTACGGTCATTCATTGAACAGCACATCTAAGTGCATGAGAGCAAAGGCAGAGGCCCAGATTCATGGACAAAGAGCTCGTTTCCAGGCTCACAAGACACTCACAAGGCACTTCATACTTCTTTGTGTTTGTAGTTATCTGATCACAGCACTGAAGTCACTGCAGAATCCGAGGGTCAGAACACTCCGGAGCATCTGTCCACTTCAGGTTCTCCATTGGGTCACTTGCTCAGATCCCCGATCTCCTACAAGCCTCTGCTTGACTGTCCTTCTCCATGAGGCTGCTCTGTCCAGGCTCTTGGCTCTCTTGGGTATGACCACTTGTCCTATTCACTCCACCTCCCTGGCCTGTTCCTGACCCATCTTTTCTTGTACTCCTTTCCATTTTTATACAGCAGCTGCCAAATTCTATTGAAGTATGTAATGCAGTTTCTTGTCTATTTTCCATCTTCTGCCAGCTCCACGAAGACAGGGTACTTTGTTTTATTCACCTTTACATCTCAAGTGCCCAGAGAGTGCCTGGCAGGGAAAGAATGTGAGTACCACAGCGCACTGATTCTTTCCACCTGCTTTCTCCTGTCTCTGTTATAAACCAAGGAGTGCACTGATTACCTGAACATCATTCACAGTGAATTGTAACAAGAATATTGGTGACAACAGGATGTTCTCCCATAATAACTGAATTTGCTCAAAGGAAATTACGTTTTTAGATATTTGTACCCAGGAATCTGGAAAGTTACCATTCCAACTTCTAATTTGGACAATCCCGTGGAATGCTTCACATTTTTGTTGCAAGAATGAAACTGATCTTTGGACTCAGAAGATATGCCTATAGCAAGTAGAAAAGGGGAGAAAGTATGGGTGTGCTCTGGAAGTTTTTATTCTGATGGATTCTGCACAAATAAGAACTTATATTAAAATAATGGTTATCACTTCTTGGCACTACACAAGTGTCATGCTTTGACACACTCACTCGCGAATCCTCGGAACAAGTCAGAGACATCATGCCTGTTCTCTACCATGTGATGGTGGAGATAACTGGAGAACGGAGACCAGATTTCATGCAGCAGTCAGGACAAAGTCAAGACAAGAACCCTGGTCTGCTGGCAGCCACCTGCTGTCAGTCACTTTGATTGCTCAATAGCATACCACCGGTCATCCTAAGTTACAGCACACAGGGAAAAGGGCACACACTGGCACTCCCGCCTCATCTCCCAAATGCAGTCCAAGGTCGGCAGAGGCAGCTGGTGTTACAGGGTCCCAGGCTATCTGTCAGAATGTTCTTTGTCTTATAAAGTTAGGTGCAGAACCTGATATGGTCAACCCCAGTGTTATGGTTTAGGTGTGAGGTGTCCCCTCAGAGCTTATGTGTGAGACAGTGCAAGAAAGCTTAGAGGTGAAACTATTAGGTCATGAGAACCCTAACCTAATCAATTAATTAGTCCACTTTTGAGTAATTAACTGGGTGGTGATTGTAGGCAGGGAGGGTTTGGCTGGAGGAGGTAGGTCACTGGGGTGTGCCTTTGGGTACATATTTTGTTCTTGGTGAAAACTCTCTCCGCTTCCTGGTGCCACGTCCTGATTGGCTTTCTTCCACCATACTCCTCCGCCATGATGTTCTGCCTCACCTTGTAACAGGGGTTCACTTGATGCTTTGACTATATCCCTTGTGGCTCTGAAACTTACGTGTTTCCTTCTCCCACGGCGTGATGTCCTCAAGCAGGATGTCATGCAGAATGTGCAGCAGCCTGTGGCAAGGGCAGTGCTAGGCCAACGTGTACCACCTCCTCCTCTCACCTCATTTCTGCCCACTACATCCCCCTTCAGGCTATGGAGGCTGAAAGTTTAAAACTCTGAGATCTTCTTGGCACAAGTTCAGAAGCAACTTTTCCTCCTGTGGATGGTTGTGGTGGTCCCTCTGGGGTAGATAGGCCACAAAAGGGAGGCTCTTTCCTGATCTTAGGCATGGAGGGTGCTTACAGGCAGGAAACTGAAGTCCAAGCAGGTGGGGCAGAGGGAAAGTCAGTCGGGTCCTCACCCCAGTTGAGGGTTTGATTCCTTTTCATAGACTCGCTTCCCTCAGCGACAGCTTGTTGGAACATTCCAGCCTTGTCTGTACTGGCCATCAGCATTACAGGGCATGGAGGGAGGGGTCCAGTACCCCATTTGAATAAGAACTTCATTGGCAGAGTTCATTTGTCTTCCTGGAGTCCTCCCTTCAGCCTAGGAAAATTATACTTTTTTTAGTCTCAGAACTTCTTTACATACTTTAAAAAATTATGGAAGATCTCAAAGGGTTTCTGTGTATATGGTTTCTAACTATCAATGATTTCTATGCTAAAAATTAAAACTGAGAAATGTTTCAAATACTTGTGGTTAGACTTTAAAAGTAATAATCAAGTCATTACATGGTAACATTTAATGCATTTTATGAAAAATTAATTGTTTTCCTAAGCTAAAGCTCATAGGAAAATCGATGGGCACTGTTCCTATTTTATTGATTGTCTCTCTCATCCCACTTGGTAGATGCAGATGCACTTTGTGATGCTTCTGCATTCTTGTTGCAATATGTCATCCAGGCTGGACTTCGGTGCTGAGTTGTGATCTCACCCAGATGAATAGCTGGAAAAGTCAGAGAAGTTCTTTAACTTTTTACTTGGAGATAAGGGTCGACTTCCGTGCATTTGTGTGACATATTGTAGAGGTATTCTGTAAACCTTCCACTCCATTCTCTCTAATGTTTGTATCTTGCATAATTATAAAACAACATCACAGTCAGGAAATCAGCACTAAGTCCAGTGATTTTATTCAGTTCTCACTGTATCCATGTGCATTCATTGGGGTGTGTGTGTGTTTCTGTGCTGATTTTCACTTGCACAGATCCATGTGAACGCCACTAGGAAGTATGGAGAGCTCCATCACAGGCACCTGTCATCTGCCCTCTTGGATCCACAGCCACCTCCCTTCTTCTGTCTTAGAAAAGACTGTGGTTGTCAGCTACCCCATGAGGTGTGCGCTATTAATTATTCCCGTTTTATAGATGAGGAAACTGAGTCGCCAAGCCATAAGCCAATAAGTGGCTTAAAGAGAGGCTGAAAGAACAGAAAAGGCAAAAAAAATTCTCATTATGAAATTGTTACCTTATCTCCTATTCTCTTAACATTCCAAATAGCCTCTCCTGTTATGGGTAGGGCAGGACTCACACTTAAGAAATTCTGGCTTGCTACAAGACACCCTAAATTTTTGGAGTTTTTAATCATTGGACTCCTCTACTTTTTTAGCCTTATCTCCTGCCACATTAATCGTGCAGCCTCTAACATAGTGTTTCCAAAGCCTCTAACAGCTGAACTTGCTGCTGCAAAACACCTGCGGTCCATTCGCCTCTGAGCAGGTGGACAACACTGGCTGGCCATCCGGAAACACCAACTTCCGGGGCTGGCTACGCCCGCTGCAGGGCGCGCTGCACTGCCACCTGTAATCTGCAGAATTCAACGCTAGCAGTCTGGTGAGTCTGAGCACGCACAGGTCTACGTTTCGAACCGCGCACCTGTAGTGGGCAACCTGTTCTGGGAAGCCTTCCTAGCTCTGGCACACTGGAGGATCCCTTCTTCCCTCGCCCCACCTCTTTAGAGAGGGGTCTCCACCCGAGGAACCCACCCTTAGCTTAAACTTTCCCGAGAACTCTTAAGTGGCTCTGGGCGGGCTCCGCCTCTCAGGCCACGTGGGCGCCGCGCACCTCCGCACCCGAGGGCCCTTGGCAGGGGCGCGTAAGGGCTGGCGAGTACGGGAGAGGGTCCCTTGCACTAATGCACTTGGAGCGCTCGGAGCTGGCCAGGGAAGGAGGCGGGCTGGGGGAGGGGAGCGTATGGAACTAGAGAGGAAACGCGGGCCGGTCGCGGGGACAGGTCTAGGGTGGGGCTCATGGCTTGGGGGAGTGGATCCAGGGAAACTTGGAGAGGAGGGGCAGACCCAGCGCCAGGGCGGGTTCTGGAGAGAGGGATGGACTGGAGAGGAGGGGCGGGCCCAGGTGGAGAGACGAGCCCTGGAGGGCGGTCTGGAGGGGCGGAGTGATCCTGGGGCGGGAACGGTATCCGCCCTGGGAATAGACTTGGAGAGGGCCTGTGGCCCTGGGAGGCGGGGCGGCCCGGGGTGACGGAGGAGGCTGGGCGGGTGCTAGGCTGAGAAGCGCGCGGCTGGGCGTCCGCAGGCCCAGGGCCACCGTGGGACGACCGTGCCCGCGTCCATGGGGGCCACTGCAGCAGCAGAGGCTGCCCAGCCTAAACGGAGGCTGGGAAGGGCCTTCGGATAGTGGGAGTGACCTCCGCGTTCCTAGGGCCGTGCTCCGCTCTCCATACGCCCACCCTAGGCGCAGACCGCGACGCCACTGGATGATGCGCGCCCCAGGCCGCCGGGGAGACTGAACTAAGCCCGCCGCGCCGCGCAGTCGCCGAGCCCTTGCGGCCGCGCATGGCCCTTACGGGCGCCCAGGGGGCGACCCTTATGCCGGGATCCCCGGCCCAGGTCGCCCCCGCTAGCGCCGCGTCCTCGTCGTCCGCCTCCTCGGGCGATGCGTGCCCCGCGGGCACCGGGCTGTGGGCCGCGCTCTACGATTACGAGGCGCGCGGCGAGGACGAGCTGAACCTGCGGCGCGGCCAGCTGGTGGAGGTGCTGTCGCAGGACGCCGCCGTGTCGGGCGACGAGGGCTGGTGGGCCGGCCAGGTGCAGCGGCGCCTGGGGATCTTCCCCGCCAACTACGTGGCGCCGTGCCGCCCGGCCGCCCGCCCCGCGCCGCCCCCAGCGCAGCCACCGAGACCCGGCTCGCCCGTGCACGTCGACTTCGAGCGGCTGGAACTCAAGGAGCTCATCGGCGCCGGCGGCTTCGGGCAGGTGTACCGCGCCACCTGGCAGGGCCAGGAAGTGGCGGTGAAGGCGGCGCGCCGCGATCCGGAGCAAGACGCGGCGGCGGCGGCGGAGAGCGTGCGGCGCGAGGCGCGGCTTTTCGCCATGCTACGGCACCCCAACATCATCGAGCTGCGCGGCGTGTGCCTGCGGCAGCCGCACCTCTGCCTGGTGCTCGAGTTCGCGCGCGGCGGGGCGCTCAACCGCGCGCTGGCCGCCGCCGCCGCCGCCGCGCCCGATCCACGCGCGCCGGGTCCGCGTCGAGCGCGGCGCATCCCCCCGCACGTGTTGGTCAACTGGGCTGTGCAGATCGCGCGCGGCATGCTCTACCTGCACGAGGAAGCCTTCGTGCCCATCCTGCACCGGGACCTCAAGTCCAGCAACAGTAAGTGGGCTGGCGGGGCGCACGCCAGCTGGGGCCACACCGGGGAGGGCTCCTAGGACCCTCGCCCGGAGCAGAGAGGCGGCAGGCAAAGAAGCGGCGGCCACCGCGGGACCCCCGGCGCATCTCGTGTTCTTCTGGTCTGCGCCTTTCAGGGCTGAGGCCCGGCAGGCCTGGGTTACTTGCTTAGGAGCAGGTGCTTCCTGCCTTGACTTGCTGCCCTTGGGCGTCTTTTTAAAGAGGCAGACCAGATTTGCTTGTAGATAAAACCTTTGTCTATATCTTTACTGGCAGGAACCCTCAGGGGCAGTAAGAGCAGGCAACAAGAAATGATATGTCCTTTGTATGTTTGTGTAGGCCCCCTTGACCATTCTTTGGGGTAGGAGTGCAAACTGAGGTAGGTGTCCTTGGACATTGAGGTGCCCTGGCAGCCCTCTAGCCTGGTGGCCTTTTACTGGCCCTTTACAAGTGAGTATTGAGGTTGCCATTTTCCCAGTCCTGTGTCAGTTGAATTCGCAGCCTGTGCATGCTATGCCCTCAGCTCCGTTCCTTTCCCCCATATTCTGTCCCTTAAATATGGCTTTATGTCCTTTGCCTTTTTTTAAAAATATATTTTAGTTATCAATGGACTTTTGTTTATTTATATGTGGTGCTTAGAATAAACCCAGTGCCTCCCACATGTCAGGCTCTACCACTGAGCACAACCCTGGCCCGACCTTTGACTTATCCGAAGATTTTTTTCACTTGCCATCTCTGTGTATAAGGACGTGATTTCACTTACACTTTCTGTGGTTTCGTTCTAGATGGGGTAGCTTCTTTTCTTCAGATAGGAAGTACCTGTCTGAGCCAGTATGCACTTGTGGGTTAAAATCAAGTGCATTGTCCTTGCATAGGTACTTGAAATCCTGACATCCTGGCCTGTGCCGTTTACCTTGTTTATAAACAGGTTGTATTTTCCTGGTGTCAATAAAGAACTGACATGTGACCTAAATCCAAATACTGTTAACCTTCACTGTATAGAAGAGCTAATAATGTGGCTGTTTGAAGTTACTTCTTTGCTCTTGAAGACCACTTCATATGAATGAAATGAAATGCTTTGGAAGATTAAAGGCTGCAGCCGGAGCTGGCATCTGCCTGCTGCAGCAGCGTGTCTTTCAGTCTTGTAAAACCTGCTGGGACTGGAGGTGGTTCAAATGGAGCCCGTGTCCTCCAAGAACAGAGAGAAGAGTGACCAGAAGAAATGACAGATCTGTTGTATGTTTGTATAGATTTTTTTTTTCCTATCAAAATCCTTCAGTACTGAAAATTAACTTAAAAATGACTAATGTAGCATTCACATTATAGGAATTGTGAATGCTTTGTTGTAGTTGTTTCATTGTGTGATCCCACGCTCCCCAAGTCTCTCATAGCTCTGATTTTAATGGCCTCAGTGATAGGAGCATAGCCTATCAAAATGTGGCATGGAGGAGGGTCAGTGCCCCAGTGTATTCTTAGTGCTCTGTAGGTCTCCTGAAGGACTTTGGGACTATTTGTCTTAACGATGCACCATTTTCAGTGTACTTCAGATTTGGAGTCTTGCCAAACTTAAGTTTTTGTAGGTGTCCCACATCTGGGACCATGGGACACAAATGGGCTAAATTGTAACAAGAAATACTATGGCCCTGGAAGAATAACTGTGATTTTGTTGACACTGGAAAAACTTGGAGAGCGCAGATGGTTGTGCATGTAGTTGATTTTTTGTACTTTGAAGGTGATTACATACCGCTACTTGGTTTTTCAGAGTTCTTACCCTCAGAACACAGTGCCAGACATCCCACAGCATTTTACTTCCTGTCATCGTCAGGCGAGGTCACCTTGGCTTCCAAAGGATCAGTTGGCTAGTCACTAGCTCGGCTAAGTATTTGTTGCATGTGGCCATTAGTATAGTTATGTGATGGATGTAAAATGAAATTTTGAATAGAACCTTAAATGTGCAAGTCACAGTGCCTGGTGCAGCCTTACTCTGGCCGTCTGGCTCTATTTGTTCACTGAGCAAATGAATTCTTGCATGGTGCATGAAGCTGGGACTTCTTGCTCAGACTTTTCCCAGTGTAGCTGATACTCCGCCACAGCATGCTTGTTTGACTTTATTCATTGTTTGCTAATGGTGGTAGTAAGTTAATGACCTTGTAAACTAGACCTTAAAAGTCAATATTGAGCCTTATTTTCACTCTGCAGTCTACTCACATAACAGAGCTGGTGGAAGTCTGTGGAAATTTTTGTCTAAAACAATAATTTGTTGTAGAACAGCGGTGGTCTTCGTAACTCCCAGGAGGCTGCTGCCATCCTGTCTGCCTGCCCCAGCGAGGCACGATACCAGGCCACCTTGGGCTGCTGCAGAACTGCTAGTTTTACATGTGCATCAGAGAGGAGAGAAACATCAAGGATCCATGAAATTCATGTAACCCTGTGCCAGGCTCCTCCAGGCCCTAGGGACAGAGTAGCAAACCAGAGGACAGTGACACCATCCTTGCCATCATAGAGCTTGGCCCAACAGGTATTCATGCATTCATGCATTCACTTGTGTTATCCCGCTAGGGGCTGCTGACAGTGGTGGTGGAGTAGAGGGGATGTCTCAGACAGGGGTGGGTGGCCACGGAAGCCGCTCTGAGAAAGAACCCCGGGGGAGTCCAGGAGTCTAGCACAGATGCAGGCAGAGAAAGAGGGAGCAGGCCCGAGGAGTTGGGGAGCCCAGTGAGGCTGGAGGCCAGAGCTGTAGGCTCTCAGCTGCCCTGAGCTTTCTCTTCCAGGGTCCTGGGAGTTTTGTGCTAAGGAATAGTGCCATCTAACTTCTGTTTTTATTTAGTTTATTTATGTTTTGCGGTGTTGGGGGTCAGACCTAGGGCCTTGGGCATACCAGGCCAGTACTCCACCACCCAGCCACACCCAGCCCCCTGACTTCTGTTTTGAGAGGCCACCAACTGCTGGGCAGAAGGGACTTCTGGGCTGAGGACGCGCTGTTGCTGCTGCTGCTTGTGGGAGGGGCTTTCTGGGAGTTGGGTGGAGACCAAGGATCAAGGTGCACCTTAGGAATTGAGGGGGGCATTGGAGTGGGCTTGGTGTTCATGCTGAGCCAGTGAGCGGCGGCCTTCGGGTGCTCCTTTCCTTTTGTAGCAGTGGTCGCTGTGTTCTGCCTTCATCATTCTTCAAGGAAAATGACATCCTAGGGAGATTGAGCCTCAGATATCAGTAGCTCTGAGGTCAATGACCAAACATCTTTTATCCCGCTGTTTTTTGTGTTTTTTTTAGCCTGTTGTGAATAATTATTACTAATTTACTTTACGGTTTACAAATACACTACACCTATAGTCTAAAACTAGGCATAAAGTTGTATTTTTTATGAAATGCAATCTAAAGCTCTAAGAGAGACTGACAAAGGAATCTATGTATTTTTAGCTTTTCCATTAATACGTTGTAAACAAAGGAACTGTTTGATAAAATTATAGCAGATGTAATAACAAATAAGGTATTTCAGGCCTTCTAAGAGTGGCTTGGGGCCACTCTTAATTACGCTGTTATGAATTAAAAGATACCTATCCCTGCCCTCTTCTGCTCTCTCACCAGGATACACTACTCCCTGGAGGGCCACTTCCTGTCCCAGGGCACAAGGGTAGGCAGCACAGACATCCCAGTGGCCGCTGAGGCGTGAATGTGCTCTTGAAATAAGATGAGCAGGGGGCTGGGGCTCAGTGGTAGAGCGCTCTCCTAGCATTCTTGAGGCTCTGAGTTTGAGCCTCAGCGCACCACATAAATGTAAAATAAAGATATTGCGTCCACTTAAAAAAAACTAAAAAAATACATGTTTTTTAAAAAAAGATTAGCAAAAAGCCAAGGCAGAGACTCTTTTCCTTGGCAGGTGATGCTTGCCTATTCAATGTGAGTAGGCCACTTCTTAACTTTTACACCTGGGGGACGGCTGTTCAGTTCCAGATTAGCAGACTGTACACAGTGGTCACTCCGTAGCCAGAGACTGGGAAGAGAGGGGCGGGCCGTCCCCCTGGTCCGAGGTTGCCCGTGTGCCCTGCATCTTCACACAAGCATGTAGGTGTCCACCTTCACTGGTGGCAGGCATTGGCTTCAGGTCAGCCAGACCTGGAAGCAAATCAGTGTTGCCACCTGCTAGCAGGTGATCTTGGTTTCCCACAGCGTGTATTGATTTCCTGTCATGGAGCCTGGCAGAGCCCTGTAGGGAAAATCTGTTGAATGTTATTAACTCTTCAAAGGCAGCCAGATAAATCCCGGCATTGAAGCCTGAGAGCTTTCCAGAGAACAGTGGTGAGCAGCTAGGTGTGGCCAGAAGGAAAGGCGGAGATGGGTTTTCTGGGGCGGGAATGCGGGTCTTGTGGGGTTGTGCAGGTGTGTGTGTCAGGTAGTGGACATCAGAGAGCTGTTGAGGGTCCTTGAGGAGGAAGGTGGTATGTGGTCTGCTGGTGAAACCAAGTAGCGGGAAGGAAAGAACAAAGCTGGGGTCATAGGCTTTATTACTGTGCTGCCAGAGGCTGTCAGAATGGCAGCGATAAAAACATAAAAAGACTTACTGAGACGCTGGTTTGAGGTCAGTTGCTGATTATCGTGCCCCAAGCTCTGGTTTTAAAATCAGTTTGTTTAGCTGTTTAGACTATTTCTTGCCCTGATTTCTCACTCCCTTTAGAATTGTAAAATATTAATTCAGTTTTCTGTGGATGTAACTATAAAAGTCCCTAACCGTCTCCAGTATCCCCAGGGGCTCCCCGCACAGAAGTGTCCCCACACAGGACTTGAGCCAGCTGAGGAGTCCAGGGTGAGAGGTGCTGGAGGAACTCTGATGACACTTTATTGCTTGATACTTTAATTTTCCACAAGTGACTCCCAGTGAGTGTGAGCTTAATTTTCAAATTCATCTTCTCCAAATGCTGCTTCCCTTTGGGCACTTCTCGCCAAATAATGGTGGTGACAGGAGAAGCAGCCACCCTTGATGTGGGCCC